AATCTATATCCTCTAAAAAATTAGGATCTCGTCCAGACTTTATTTCCACGCGGCTAGAGTAAGGAGTAGTCCCCTCGATATCGCAAACTTCTAGGAATGTACGAAGCCCATGGTCCGACTCTGGAAATTATCATGCATGCGTTCCTCTAGGTCTTCCTGCCAATATGGGCAAGGTCAAACAACTTCTAAACATGCACCTTCTTGCAACGATTCAGGAGTTTCCCCAAAGTGAAAACGAGCGATTAAACTAGGCTGCTAATTAGTTCACACTTTAAACAATAGTCCAGATGTGTTTTTTTCCTAGTTCTTGCATATTTCTGTGTGCCCCACTAACCATGAACACTTGCATGCAGCCTTCAGGACATGATTCACTACTATGCTGATGGACCTAAATTAATCGTTTGACTTATCAATTCCTGCTCAGATTCAAAGGAAGAAGGGACTTTGATCATTCTGCTCGTCAGAATGTATTCAGTTCATTGCCCTTAGATGGCTATGCTTCAATTTATTCTCCTAAACCATCGCACTCAGTTGGAGAACGGATCTATAAATATGTCCATCAGTAAGCATGAAAGGCAAGCTAGCCGAGATGGCGATTTGGATAGTGATCCCAAGGTTCGCGATACAAATTAGCATAGAGAACAGAATAAGATTCTGTCTATACTTTATTGAATGACTTCAAATGGCTTCAGACTCCCAGTGAGTGGCAAATCTCCGATATAAACAAAGGATTTCTTCATTTATCATTTTGAAACAAAGGAATACTATCTATTTTTGCTTGTATCTGTCTATTTTTCTATCGTTCATCAGCACATTTGCTCATACACTTTCATATTTACGCATTAATACATTCGTGCTTTTACCCGCGCGCACACACACACACATTCATAGATAATTTCACGCACATTCGCACGCACACAAATGCCACGCATGTATAAATACCCTTTCTTGCTAATTATTTATTTTTATATGCATATCAATTTGCTTAGATTTGGCATTTTCTCTCTTAATCACGTCTGCCTCACTCCACTCTTCGTTATTCGTATGTTCTCCCCCTCTGCCTCCCTAAACATACCTCTTTCAACCTTGCCCCCCTACCTCAGCAGCCATGCTGCCTCACTCAACCAGTCGCACCCACCACTCGGACAAGCGAAAGGGTGTTGGTTTCAGCCCGTCGTTGCCTTATGCAAATGTGGATTAAGACAGAAAATTAGGGAGTGCATTAAGAAGACGAGAAATAGGCCTCATTTACGGCTCTACTTCGAGCGCCAATTGAGCTTGGAGCAAGGGGGATTGATACCATTCGTGATGCGGACGCCGGAGAAACTATATTAGTTTGTAGATGGGGCGAGAACGAGAAAAATCAGAAAAAAGGTGATACTTGCTCTGGAAGAGGCATAGGCCGCCATGCATGCTGAATAAATGAACAACCGGTTTTGCGTCTGCTTATGCCAGTAAATTTATTTTCGCGTGTATATGCATATTTATCTTCATGTTTGTATGTGTGTGTATAAACGAGCGTATGCGCAATTTATGGGAAGCAGCCTAGCCGTACCTGACAGAAACTAGACGATCAATGTATGTGCCTGTTATATTAATATATAGAGGTGTGCTTATTTGTGTATATGATTTGTTGGTGAATTAGCTACGTCACGTGCGGACATGTGCGCGATGAGTCAGTTGTAGAGATGGAAGTACAAGCCATGGAAACTTGCACCTTCGGGCGGGATAATCAAGGCCGAAGTGCACACAACAGATTAGCTTCGATGATTACCAGGGGGGCATGTCAAATAAAAAACTAGTTGGCATCATCTGAATACCGGTTGGCATTGCCACAGAAATAGTTGTGTGGATAAAAAGGAATTTTTCAGGTGTGCATTAAAGCCTTGATTGTTCACACGTCAAGCTCCTAGTCCCGGTGACATAAGCCGCAGTGATCTTTGTTTTGAATTTTAAATATGGGTGATACCAAAAGTGCTTTAATCTGTCACTTAACTAAACAACAATACAAGGAAATGATATTATTTCAAGAGTAATGGTATATCAAATATAGGAGATGTGTTCCCCCTATTTCTTTGAATTTTCCCACCCCCAACTAGACCCTAACCGTCATAGTGGATCGTATAATCTCGATACATTAACCACTACGCCACATTGCCACGATTGCCCTTAGGTCAAAAAGTAGATATAAATTTTAAGGGTTGCCAGGCATTTTTCAATATCAAATTATGTGATCGTATTGTCGATGAAGCAAAGTTGTATTTACTATAGAAATCGGCAACATTATTTATTATTTGTTAATAAATAGGCTGTCGGGACGCATATATATATACATATATATTATCTACTGGTAGTTTTGAAAACGATAAATAATTAATGTAGTCAATTGCTATAGCAGGCACAACTTTGCTTCATCAACAATCGCACCACAGAATGTGATATGGGAAAATGCCTGACTCCTTAAAATTCACATCTGTCCTTTGACTTAAGGGCATTCGTGGCCATGTGGCGTAGTGGTTAACGTATAGAGATTATACGCTGCACAATCGTGGTTCGAGTCCAGCTAGGGGTGCTGATGAGACCTACGCAAAGGCGAAACTGCGGTCTACTCTGGATGAAAATATCTTTTGTGAAGCAAGACCATGTGAAATGCAGTGTCAACGAAGGGTCTGCTCATTGTGGAAAATTCAATTACCTTCATCGCCAGGTATTGTTCGTCGCATCTACATTCCGAGTTGAAACAGATGGTAGAATGTAAATGCCTATTTCAAAAGCACACCTTATTCATCTAAACGTTAGCTTGAAGAGAATCCAGTAGATATGCTAGCCGTTTGACTTGCAAACTGTCCCCAGAATTGTGTATCATGCGTTTAAATTTACTTACATTCAAATTGAATATCATTCGCCATATATATATATATATATATATATATAT